TGGCATAGATTATTTCACTGGGCTAAAGGGGAAATAAATTCCCTCTGAGGCAAGGAATTCAATTTACCATTTCCTTAAAGCTCTTGGTGCAATCGTGAGAGTGAGAGCAAGCTCTGGTTTGTGGTGCTGCAAAGGCTTTATCAGTCTCAGATCTTGGCAGGACAGACCAGACTGGCTGTCGATTGCAGGGGATAGTGCTTTTCCTGCCCATCAGAAAGAACAGAAAGGAATTGACTTTCCAGCACAAAGGACTTGCCCGAAGTTTCAATCAGTCTTTTCTCTGTTCGAGTATGTGAGGCTTGGGCTGTGATGCTTGGTGTCTCTCTGTCCCTCTTTTGTGTAGGGTACGTCCCTCCATTTTCCCAAGATAAAGCTAAGCTCTGGAAAATGAGCAGAAACCAGCAATCAATTCAGCTGAGACGTGAGTGACTCTGGTAGGTCAAGGGAAGGCATAGGAAGGAGCTGTGTCAGTGCTGAAGAGAGGTACTACAGGAGCCTGGCTGCTAACATCACCAGAGGACTCACCATTTCTCTTTCTACACATTGTGTGCCCACTTCACTATAACAACGATCTTCCCACAGCTGCTCTCACTATTCTGACCTTTAACTCCTACTGAGCTCATGGGGGTGTATTAAGGACTCTGTGCAACACCTCAGATTTAACGCTGATGGGAAAATCTATGTAAAATATGTAACTGACTGCTTCCAATGGTAACAGCTTCTGCATGTGATTACTTGTTTGGCTGAAGTGGCTGAAGCTTTAGCTGCTAACTCAGCAGGCTGTGAGTAGACAGTATCGTCTTTTCAGTTCATTCTGGCTGCAGTTCAGGGTGTTAATAATAATCTAGAGGGCTATGTAAGGCTTGGATCCTGGCTATCAGGAACCAGGTCTCTTGACATACAGGTACAGGAGGCGAGATCATGGAGATGATCCTGCTGACAGCTCCCTAATGTAGCCATGAGTGGCAGGCACTTGCAGCAGAGACCAATACCAAATCCATTATTTATTAGGGCATTACTTAGGATTCAGAATGGGTGCATTTATTTGGAGTAAAGTGTGAACATCTTGATTACTATTTTAGCATATGTTTAGTCATCAGAGTCAATGCTATGGGGATGCTTTGTTTTTAAATTGGGAACAAAATATTCCCTAAAAGCCAAACATTGGGCCATGTTGTTATCCTCTTTCCTTAACACTTACGACAGCATTGAGAGAACGCTCTGGCCAAGCCGACAGGCAGCCAAGTATAATTTATGACTTATTTTAAACGGATTTGTTGACTTCTTGAAAGGTCCTGTCAAAAAGAGCAGTCCCCCGAGTCTTAACAAATGATAACAGTTGTGTGGCGTCAGTGCTGAAAAACTCTTGGATAACAGTGAACCCGTCCTGAGAAACCCTTTTAAAGTGCCTGAAAATTGTGCTGTCTAAAAATAAATAGGGCTAATGCTATTGTTTGGTAGTTCATTTTGGTTTCCTTAATGCCTTGTACATTTTATTTTCCATTGATTGGAATATTCCCTTAGAAGCATGAAAACAAATCTCCATATGCCTAGTAATAAAAAAAAACCACACAGCGTTCACATGAGATGCTGCTAACAAGGACGTGTTCTGTCTCATTTATGTGCAATGTTGAATTTGCAAGTGACATCACCATGTTTGCATGTGCATCAGTGTGGCGGACAGCAGGAAAGACCCGAGATGTGTATCAGCTGTACTTCTCATTGCAGTGTCTCACTTAAGTACAGACAGAGCATAAAGGGCAGACTCAGTGCCCCGCCAGGGTCTGTGTCATTCAAAGCTTCCTCGCCCTAGGGCAAGGTAGACATGCCCTGCTGTGGGCTCTCTTCACATTAGGCTGCTGCCTATGAGGAGCTTACAGCCACAGTGCCTTGGTTCTTCTGTCACTGTCCTTGCACCTGCCCTGCAAATGCTTCCATGCTCATCCTTGTCCTTACTGTGAGAACAGAGAACAACAGCTGTAGAAGAGCATCTGTTTTCTCTCTATTTTTAACAGTAATTCCTTAGTTATATTCATACTGTTGTTTCACCAAGCTAAGCTTTTTCTGGTGGAAATACAGTGCTTCAGGCAGAATATTTTCCTCAAAAATCTTGGTAAGCTTTATTGGCTTTTTCTTATCTCTCCCCCAGCCTTTTTGGGACCAACATCACAGACTTATAGTGCTGCAGCTTTGCAGGTCTTCGTTGTCCTGGATGTTTTCCCATTGGTCTTATTTGAAATTGCTGAATATTACATTGGTGAAATTCTAGCTTACAGTTAAACAGATAAAACAGTGTCACAGCAAGAACTATAAATATGTCCTTGTCTGAGCGCATAACAATGAGTGAGTCTGCGAGTGACAGTTCAGATCTGGTTTCCTTCCACCACCGTGGGAAAAGGAAGCTGCTCCTGTGGTTGTGCAGCCATGATTGCTTCCTGCATCTGTGTGTTGGAGCAGGACAAGCCCCTCCTCGGCCCTGCAGCATGGCATGGCATGGCTGTGGTGCCAGGGGCTTCATACCCTGCCAGCCCCACCGGGCTAGAAGGGATCAGCCCCTGCTCGAGGCTTCTGCAGAATTAAAAATGTGGCAGGGAAGGAGGACAAACTCTTGCAAACTGCTGGGAATGTGTGTCCGGGAGGTTAGTCCAAGGTCCTGATACAAGCTCAGGCAAAGCATCTCCACATCCTTGCGGGGGCTTTGCAGGCCTCTGTGGCCTTCACAAGGGTGTCTGCTGGAACATGGCCTGGGTATTTGTGAAACTGTGAGGGCATAATAGTATTAGAAACAGCATGAGTCTTGTTTCTTCTTTCTAGGGAAAAAAAAACAACAACAAAAAGCAAAAAAACTCACAACAAAAATCTAATCCATTTTGATGCAAGAATAAAAGTGTTTTAAGGCAGAATATCTGTTTTATATGAATCCTTGTGGAGAACTCCTGATGTTAACTAATGAGCCAAAACTGGAACCATTAACACAAGCAGGACTTTTGTCATTTACTTCAGGCTGAGCAGGTTTTGATATACGTCATAATTACTGTAATTTTCTTTTACCATCTAAACAGTGAAAGTGCTGTGCAGCCCACACAGTTAGGTTCTTGTTTTCTGTGAGCAAAGCAGGTCCTGCTTATTTTATTGGTAGGTGCAGCTGGGTAGGAAGAATTTTGAGCAGTTAGACTTTACTAAAACAGAAAAAAAACAATGGATTTTGGGCTCACAAAGAATATTTAGTGTTTGTTTGCTTCTCCCCTTCCCCCCCAACTCCCCCTCCTTGGAGGTAAAACTATTGTATGTTTTTTTTCTTCTTCTCAGGACAATTTCTTGTCAGTTCACATTCCACAACTAATAAGGAAGATATTATATGTGTGGTTGTAAGAGAGTGGCAATACAAAATTACAGTCTGGGATTCTATATTTCATTGTCTCTCACCAATACCATGTTAGATCTGCATAGATTGGAAGTAAATATATTGTAACAAACTTTGAAAACAGTCTTGTAATTACCAGCCCCACAAACTGAACTTGACCTTAGGGATGTCAAACCCTGGTTCTGGCCTAAGCATTATAATGATAAAAATCCTATTAGAATTTAATGTCTCTTGATGATGCAAGAATCAGTTCAAATCTGTTTCACCTGTTACAGCTTGTGGAAGCAATGAAGTAATGCAGAGGCTCTTAATTATCATTAAAAACACTACTCTGATCTGCAGCTGCCATTTTATGGAGGAGTATTTAATACCTGGAGTTGTGGAATTGGGTTTTTGTGCGCATTCCTCCCTGGTTCCCTTATTACTGAAGCTGGCACAGAAGCTCAGGCACAGGGAAGCATCTCCCACGACAACCCACTGCAAAAGCAGGGCCGGGAAGGCACCGGGCTAGCAAGGCACCCTCTGCACGCAGGATGCTTTTAAGCACCTTTTTCTAACCTGTACCCGGTTAAACTCGTTTGGAAGAGCCTCGCTGGGCCAGAACATCAGCCTTCCAGTCAGCTGCTGGCCCTAATTATCTCCTCAGTTCTGCGTCACGTAGCAAAGGTTAAAGCATACCAACGGCTCATCTGATCGACTTTTTAATCTTTGTTTTGAAAACAAGAAACGTCTTTAATTTAAGCGGCACATAATGGTTCTGCCAGGCGCGAGCAGGGCACGTTTGACTCGGGTACCACCGCGCTGCTGGAGCTCGGCGGGGACCGCGGCAGGGCTCGAGGCGGGAGACGGGGCAGATCCGCGAGCGTTTGTTCAAGGAGAAACGCGAGGCTCGAGGCGGACGCAGAACCGCAGCCCCTCGCCGGCTGAACCCCCCTCCCAACATGGCGGAGCCCCAACGGCCCGCGCGCACAGCGCCGCCCCTCCTCGCGGCGGTGCCCCTCTTTACCTTCCCGGAGGCCCGCCTCTATGGTCAGGGGCGCGGCGGGGGCGGGGCGCGAGGGGTGGCGCGCGGCGCCCCGGGCCGGCGGTTGGAGCGAGTCCCCTTTGTGTCTGGCGCGAGGCGCGGCCGTTGGTGGCGGCGGGCGGGAGGGGGCGCGAGCCGCGGCGGGGCGGCGGGCTCTGCGGCCCTCGGAGGGCTACGGGAAGGAGGCGGCGCCGGACCGCCCCTCGCCGGCCAGCCCGGCGTCGGGGAAGGCGCTGGCGGCGCGGAGGGACCGAACCGCTCCCCGCCCCGCGGGCACGGCCGCGCCCGGCCCCGCTCGGAGCTGAGAGAGGCCGGCCGGGCTGGCGCGGAAGCGGCTCGCGGAGCGCTGAGGAGAAGGAAGAGGAGGGGGAGCGCCGTTCTACCGGCGCGGGGGAAGAGCCTCCGCGGAACGCGGCCGGGCGCCGGGGCCGCCGAGGAGGGGCCTCGCTCCCGCCGCCCCGCGCCCCACCTCCGTCGGGGCGGCCGGGGGTGGCGTCGCCGCGGGGGCCGGGCTGCGGAGCCGGCGGGCGGATGGGCCGGGGGGCGGCCGTAGCCCCCGCGCACGGAGCGCAGCCGGTCTCGTCCGCGGACGCGTGAAGGCGGCGGGGCCCTCCGCCGGGCGGCGGCCGGCTCCGCACCCGCGGCCCTCGGAGCCGGGCGGCGCGAGGGGCTGCCGCGAGTGACAGCCGCCGCCTCCCGTCTGGATATGTTTCCTTCCCAGCCCGGCTGCTTCTTCGATATCGTGAAGCTGCGTGGGAAATAAGCGCGTTCCCGAGGCGGGCGGCGGCGCGACGCCTTTCCCGGAGCCGGGCGGCAGCGGCCGGCGTCCTCCCCGGCGCCGCGGAGCCATGCGGGCGGGCCGCCGCGACGGAGTAGCAGCACGGCCGGCGCCCCTCACCTGCCGTCCGCCCTCGCGGACCGAGCCGTGAGCCGAGAGCTCGCCGCGGCCGCCGGAAAACGGAGGAAATCGCTCTCGTCGGTGTCTTTATTTCCCACCCTACTCCGCCTCGACCCCCGCGCCCCCAGGATGACGGCCTCGCTGCGGCGCCTCGTGCTGCCGCTCCTGCTCCTGCTCGCCGCCGCCGCCCCGCAGCCCGGCGCTGCGGCCGGTAAGTACCGGGCACGGCGTTCGGGCACGGCGGGGCGCGGTCCGGCGGCGGCTCCGTGCGGGGTCCGTGCCGGGCGCCCGGGGAGGGCCGCGCGTCGGGGCGGCCGGCGGCGTGAATCTGCTTTATTTCTGCTTTATTGTGTAAATGAGCCATCCGCAGTCGGGGTGCGCGTTCTGTGCGGCTCCGCTTCTCTCGGCTTCTCGCTTCGGTGTTTTTCCAAAATTGAAATAATCTTTTCGTTTTGCATGCCGCGCCCTCGGTAAGGTAATGCGGGCGTTTTTAATATATATTTTAATCGCCGGCGGAGCTGTGCCGGTTGTGCTGTGGGATCCCTGGGCACAGCCATTTTTAATTTTATCGGCATCCGTGCTCTTAGGGCCTGGAGCGTGTGCTGCAGCCCCGTGACAGACCGATCGTAAGGTACGTTTGTTTCCCGGGGGCGATCTGTAGCAAACCGGCTGCTCCTATTGTCGCTCGCTGCTGTAGGCCGGCAGCACAAAGAGCTGATGAGGAACGCAGGAAGGTCTCGAAGAGGATTCTTTTTTAAACAAGGAGGTGGAAGCACAGATTGTAAGGCTGTCCTTAGCCATATTTTTGGGCTCTCGGACCTATTTTTAACTTTGCTCGGAGGCTTCATGTTTGATACCTGAGACGTTTGATCCCGATATTGGAAGAGAGGTGCACTGGTCTCCCACTTTTGGCTCTGCCCTGGTGACAGCTGAGCACGTTGGAGCTCCTCAAGTGCTACTGCTGTCAGTGGGCACCGATATCTATGCCCGCAGTACCAGGACTGTCTGTATTTCCCAGCTGTTGTGGGAGACTCCTACAACTTTCCTGTCATTTTACTAATCAGAATCCAATTTTGCAGGGCTCGGTGCTTCTCGTGCTGTTTTAGTAGCCTGTGTGTAGTTCACAAATGAATCCTTCTTCGTAAGAAAATCACGTTGGATAGGCAGTTGGTTCATTGCTCTGACTGGACAGCCCCAGATTTCTTTTCTTCCTCTTCTTAAGAGGTCTCTTTCAGAAGAATACTAGCATGAAAAAACTGATGTTATCGGCATCATCCCGACCTGTGACTGTTCTTATTTTAGATTGATCTCTGTAGAGTCTGTGTTAATTTTTCTGGGAATGATTTTTCTTCAGGAAGAAGGGACTTCTGAAGGTCAGATGTCTTGGTATTTAAAGCACGCAGGAATCAAGAGTGCCCGCTGCCTAACCGTTCAAATGTAATAATAACGATTAAAAGAAGAACAGGATTTTTCCCCCCCTTGTCACGAACGCTTGGGCAGGCTGCTCACTGCTTTGCCGTGGTGAGGAAGAAGGGCGGTGAAGGAGCGAGCACGGCTCTGAGGAGGCCCAGGGCTGGGCAGGTGCGGTGCGAGCCCGTCCGCACGGTTCTGCCGGTTCACCTCCATCCTGACCTGGCAGCAGTGTTCCTATGTTTCAGTTCTGGTCTTGCCTTGTTATGAGGGTATTAATGATGCCCGCTTGTTTGGCTGTTTGTGAATAGGGACCCATTTTCCCGTTGTGATTTATTCCTTAATTATGAAATGTTAACAATCTACATTATACAAACTTTGGTCGTAATCCTCTGTAAGAGTAATTACACAAATGATTTGAGCTTTACTTAAAGTAACTAATGGTTGATTTTAGATTTACGCTGCATTTCAGGGAAAAAATGTCTATACATGGGGAAGCTACACTAATGTGTAATTCTGCCCTTTTATGTTCATGAAAGAGCCAACATTATTTCTTCTCTTCCCCTCCCCCCGGAGCATGAACTGTATGCTCGCATCAATGACAGTGCTGATTCTGGCCTGGAAACCCTTTATTAATTGGATCTTCCGATGGGTACTGTATCTCCACAGTACTTGGAACTGAGTGTTTATGAGTGCAAAATCATGACATCAGAGGGAAAGTATTTTTGTAATAGGTTTGTAGCATTCTGCCTTGAGAAAATGTAGATCTCCTCGGGGGAGCTCAGCGAAGACCTGAGCTTAGTGTGGTAGTCCTTCCTTCACTCTGCTAGATGAGTGTATAATGAAGAACTAGATTCAGGTGGGGTTCTCTGCCTCTTTTTTTTTTTTTTTCCTTCGGATGTTATTAGGAGAAAAATGCTGCTGGCTTTCTCTGGAAGATCTAGATCCTAACAAGTACCTGGTAGCTTTGTATTTGGATTATATATTTTTCACTGCAGCCATTCTCTTAAAAAGGAGTACATTTTATTTACACTAGTTTTAGATAAAAGATTGAGGGATTTTAAAGTATGTTAAGAAAAAAAAGGAAGATTTGCACCACTTGATAAATGAAGAATCAAGTTACTTGAAATCCCTCTTTCTAAATCTTTTGTTTAGAGCTGTGAGACTTTATTTATGCTCCCTTATATTAAGGAGGGTTTGGATGCATTAATTGTGAGGGTTGTGCCTAAGAGGTGGCTGGTGAACCTTTGAACTGTTCCACAGTAGTGCTGAAGAATTTCATTTGGGTGTTCGTATGAACTAGATATTAATCTTGTTCCATTTGCTTGCCTTATGTGATACACAGTACTAAACCACTATTTCTTCTTTCTGCATACCCGCACCAGACAGCATTCCTTTGTCTAATGTGTAAATGACTTGTGGAAAACATGAAGTAAGAGTTAAAGCAAGTAGAATGTCTTTTTATCTTTGTGGGCCTTTCCCTTGTGCTTGTATGTGTGTGGATCAAGATTTTCAGAGTGAAAAGAATTGCATGGAGATTGAAGGGGTGTTTGTTTTTCCCCAGATGATTGTTTTAATTATTAATTAAAATGAGTGAACCGAAGCTTCTTTATCCTGTTCTGTCTTGCCAGTTGGAGCTACTGTAGTGTCTCAACATAATTTGTTTGAAATATGAATTGTGTGACATGAGAAAGAACTCCTTTTGGCCATTCAACTCAGTTACTTTATCAGTGCTTTGAATTAGTAACTGACTTATCTTGCATATTAAACAGTTTTCTTAAATCTATCTGTTCCTCAGTGTCTACTTCTTGACTAGTGCTATACCCATCATTAATGGCTCAGTCAGTTGTAATCTAAAAATCTTATTTACTTTTCTGTTTGGTTTGGGAGCTTTCTCAGAAGTCCTAGCATAGCAGCTGGACATGGGCTGTCAATGTGAAGGACACAAGCAGTGTGCTTGATGGAGGCACGGAAGCACAGCCTGTGTGTCAGATTAGGACTTCATTAACTCTCCAGTTGTGTGGCTGTGTAAGTGCGGAGTCGTGCATGAACCCCCTCACCCTTCTGAGAAGAGCCTTTTTTCATTAGGCAAATCAGCCTGCATGAACCTCTTTGATATTTCAGCTACGCTGCCTCCAGTTCCTGATCAAACCTGGGTATTTCTGTACTGTGCTGTGTGGTGTAGGCATATCCTGTAAGGAAATGGGAGATGCACTGGCCAGATTGCTCAGGAGCCCAAATTTCAAGCCCTGAACCATTACACGGCTGTTTCAGTTTGGATGTTTTCCCTCAAAGAAACCTTGTGTAAACGCTGGCTGAATTGTCTGCCTGTTCTCTGGTGCAGGAGGGCAAGCCTTATTTCACCAGGGACAAAGATAGAAGTATTTCCTATAAGAAATACTCTCATAATGAAGTGGCTGTTTTGATGACCCCTCTTTAGCACATATTTCAAACTTCTCTTAAAAAAAAAAAAAATCTGTTGATTTTTACATTGCTTTTTCGTATCATAATGTATTTATCAGCAGTCTCAGTAGTCACTGTCATAGAGTCTTTGGCAGATGTTACCTTCCCTTGCGTTTCTCACCAGAGGGAAGAGAAAGGTGATCTGTTAGGTTCTTCACAAATGCTTTATTCCCACAGCAGAGTGCATGGTTTCCTGTCACAGGAGTTATATTGTGTTTGGGCTCAAAGTCCAGCCATGCCATGAACGTCTGCTTTCATTTTCTGAGCAGACTGTGCGTAAGCAGGGCGCAAAGTTCCATTCAGGACAGAATGTTTATGTCTGAATAAAACAGTCCCGATGATGCTGTGCATTCGGTAGGACAGGAATCTGTGTGTAGCTTGCATGTAGTTGTGTTTATTTTGTTAAGCTTGTAGGCTTGGTGATGCTACTAACTCCTTCAATTTCAACTGAAAAATAATGCAATAGAAGAACAGTTCTCCAAAACAGAAGAACACTTTGGGTACTGAATATGCTTTAGTTGTTTTTTCGCCTTTGAAATGAGCTCACAGAAGTATAAGGCTGGAAGCGACTCCTGTATCCTACATGGTCTGGATGCATTTGTCTAACTAGCATCTTCAGTGAAGAGGGATTGCACAGCCTGTCCTGTTACTGTACTTAGTTACCACGTGTTTTGAAATGCAACAGTAGTAGTTCCCTTTCCCCGCTCTGATAGATTTTTTTAAGATAGGCCTCAATTAATGTGGTGATGCACCTGAACCTACAGCACACTGTACGCATGCAGGCAGTCAATTGCCAGAGAGCAGCAGAGACCTGGTAAATTGTTCATATGTCAAAGTGTAGTGTCTCAGAGTTAATTCTCATGATCTGCAGAGCTGGGAGCTGGGCTGAGCAGCGGTGGGATCTGCTCAGGGAGGCCAGTTGGTGTGAGTGAATGGAAGGAGCAGCTGGCAGTGCTGCAGAGGTTTGAAAGGATGAAGGACTGAATTTGTTTCTCAACAGATGAGAACCAAGGTGTATCGGACAGAGATGTCTTGCATTTGTCAAACTTGCTGGGAGAATGCGTGCCTGCAGTTGTGTAGGGGAAGGAAGTTTTTGCCCTGGGGAGAGGGAAAGAAAGCATAGTTGTAGGTAGCAGTTTTGAAGGCTTCTGGTAGCTGTTGAGAGAATGAGTGAGACTTAGTCATTTAGATGATGTCTTTACCCTCTTACCCTTCTCTCAACCTCATAAGCTTGGAAACCACAAGGTGTCTGGGAGGTGATTTTGTTCCAAGTCACTAGGGGCTTTCTGTTTTGTTCATTGCCTCCTTAGGTTTGTAGCAAAACACATCTTGTGTTTG